GGCGCTTGGGCCTTGGACCCAATCACTGTATATCTTTTTGCTGCAAATTTATTTGCAATTTTAGGCCGAACCGAAAAATGGAAAATCCAATTTGGATTTGGACTCGGGTTTTAACCCAACCCGAGTGAGACCTCTCCAGATACAATGAACCTAGACACCTGACTGTTCAGGTGGAATGTTGATGGCTGGTTAATGGTGTTAACACCTGATTAATGGTGCAGTAACACCTAGTTAATGGTGTAATAACACCTAAAACATTTCTGTCCATTTATCTCTGCCTTAAGTTGCAGATATGACTGTTTATATTCCCTCAAGAGGTGGAAGTCCTATAAATAGGACATAGAGCTGCAGAGAAATGACATACAACATTTTCATGCAATCTGAATACTCTCAAAGCCTCACGCATCATATCATAGTGCTCAATTCTCGTCTTCGAATCCGTTCGCTGGAACTCTGAAGGCTGGTGTGCTACAGCTTTCGAGTGTATTGCCGTTGTATCTTTGGGGACATTACGCAAAGACCCGTCAGCACTATACGGGGCGTATTTGTCTTGCGGAAAGATTTCAATCGCCTCGGCTTTCAATATGTCCGCATTTGAGTTGTAATTTTTTATTTTGTTTTAGTTCTACTTGTACGAACTGAACACTTCAGTCAGTTCATAGGTTCCCGTTGTAATTCAAAGCACACTTTGTGTAACAAATAAAAGATATTATAAATTAAAGTTGAGTGTAAACAAATTAAAGATGTTGGGTTAACATGTGATATAATGTTTAAAATAATACAAACACCTAAAATATTATATTAACATATGTAAAAGTATCTAAAATTTTTTATATTATTATTAAAAGATATGAAGTCACCTACAACTTTTCTAAACTATTTTGGAAAGAAAACGTGTCTAAAGACATTAACTTTCACTTTTGTATGAATGTTTCTAAACACTTTTTTTCTTTGTAAAGGAAACATTCTTAAAAATATTTAAATTTAATATGCATATGTATATATAGATAGAATATGACGTGATAAAATATTATATAAAAGTAACTATAGTATTATAAGTTTAAATAAATACATTATAAATTTTTTGGAAGAAAATTTACAATAGTATATAAAAAATAAATATTGACATGTTTATGACGGTACCTAAAAATTTGAGTACATAAGATTTTAAATTTATTATTATTATTTTTGTAAGTAATTTGAGTACAAAATATTTAAAAATATTTTTACTTTTTAGTTACCGTAAAAAGAATTTTTGTATGCATTGATTTATCAATTTTAAAAATAAAATGGTATTTTTTTCATATCTAACTGAGATTAAGACAAAATTGTTATCTCACAAGCAATTTTGTACGCATAACAAATATACACATAATGCACATTTATATCCATGTTCAATTTTGTAAGCAATTTTTTGTTATAGGTGAAAAAATAGTATTTATCATTACTTAACTTTTAATTAGTTTGTTTTCTAACAGTAATTTATTTTTCTAATGTGGAAGGAGAAACACAACATTTTTAAAGATAATGATTATTTTATATGTAATTAAAATACTCCAAATATTTAATTTGTGATATTAATGTAAATGACTAATTTCAAAATTTTAGATTTATTGTGGAAAACGTAATACCAAACATTGTTGTCTATTTTTAAATATATTTGTATTAAACGTATTTATTGATATATAAATAATTTCAAGAAAATGAAAACATAAATTGTTCAAAAATGGACAATATATTAGCCTACAATTTTCAAAATTAAATTGAATTATAAGAAGCTAAAAAGTAGGACAATACTTAGGCATACAATTTTAAAAACTAAATTTCATGCAAAAGGATAAACAATTAATTTTAAATTTAATTAAAAAAATTTCTTTATAAGTAAGTGAAACAATTTAAACAAAAAGTCAATTTTCTACACACACATATATATATATAGGGGGAGGATCCAATGAGTCCACTCCTTAAAATGAGTCAACTATTTAAAATGAGTTCACTCCTTAAAATATATATTAATTAAATAATAAAATAATTATTAGTTGACTCCGGCGTTGACCGTTGACTTCTGGCGTTGACC